AGCTGAGAGGGGCAAAGAAATCTGGTTTTATTACACAGAATAAAATGAAGTTACCTAGCACTGATGGTGGGGAATGGGTTAGCTGAAAGCTACAGCTGGGATGAAGACTACTGGAGGTTCTTTCAGTTAAAACTTGCACATAAATTAGTTGTTTCACACCTTTCACCTACAAAAGCCAGTCATCTTACATGAAAAACAAGCTCTAAGATTTCTCCAGTGATGACAAAGAGCCCTTGAGAGAGCTCTGTTTAAACAAATAATGCACATTGCCTTATGCTACTCTACAAGCAAAACCAAACAAAAACCTCTAGAACATACCTAGGTGCAACAGACCCAAGATCTGTCTCTTTCAAGTCCTATCCATGCACAGCACCAACACTGGTTTTATTCTCCAGACTCAGCCTAGTTACTCTATTTTTGCCTCCCAGTGTTGCTAGGCAAGAAGCCTTGGGGAGAGCTGTGCCCTGTTCCCTGCCCCAGAGGCTTCTGTACAAAAAGCAGCCAGAACTGGAGGAGCTGTCAGAGCCAAACAAGACCAGGGGCAGCTGCAATATGCTGCCAGCCCTCTGCTCTTCCCTGGGGACACAGTTGCTGTTTGTCTCAAAGGGTACAGGACAGCAAGGGGTGCTTCCCCTCTCCCCATGAAGGCAGCATGTGCAGATCACTGGGCCCAGGCACTGAGGTGAAGGTCCTGAGAGGGGTAAAGCACAAGTGTCCCTGGTACAACCCATGGTGAGGGAGCACCCCATGGGTCAGAGCACCCAGCCTTGCTCACCTCCTCCTCCCCTGACTGACCAGGCTGCAATCAAAGCAATACTCACTCTGACACAGCAGTCTGTTAGTTCCTTTTTCCTCCCTTTCACCCAAGTTTACATCCTGCAAGACCCTCAACACTTCATCTTTAGAAACACTGCTCGTCCATTGACATTGCTTCCATTCATAAGGTAGCAGAAAAAAAATTATCCTTGTGTATAAAACACTCACCCAAATGGAAGCAGAACTGCAAGACAGCAGATGTTTCTTTCCTAATCAACCAGCATGCAAACAGGAAAAAAATAAATACATCTGAAGAATGAGTGTGGATGGTGTGAGTTCCATATGAATTTCAGCTGTAGGTGTGTGCAAGCCCTGAGTCAGTGCTGCAAGATGACAGGTGTGTTTATGCACTCAAGACACAAGCCATGCAGCTTTCCACTGGTGCTGCATTACAGAAACTGGCAGAAAACTCTGGCTACTGTGACATATTCAAATCACATCATATCATTGTGTGCAGCATGCAAGGAATGTACAACACAGCCCACGTCCCACAGGAAAAGGAGGGCACTGAGACTGTCTGAGAGACATAGTCCATCTATGAGACACTAGCCCCTCCTATTTCAAATCAAACAAGGAAAAAAAGAATCAGATGATGGATGTGGGTTAGGAAGTCTCTACATGCTCCACCTGTGATGGAACTGCTAACACATCTGGGGCAATCTAGACCCCAAGGTGAGCCTAGTTGCTCTTGCCAGACACATCTTCTTGGACAAAAAGCAAGATGTCATCATCTGCTACATACAGACAGCAAAACAAGGTTAAGAATTCCACAAAGTCACTTCCAGTTGCTGACTTCCCAGAAAGGCCTCCAGTTCTGCCCAGCACACCACAGAAAGGCTACACACCCTGAGAAACCACAGCATGAGGACACTCAAATCCTGCAGCAAAGGGAGAGCTCCTGCCCTGTCAGGTTTAATTGGTTTTCTCTTCATAGATAACTCTGTCTGAACAAAACAAGCTCTGAGAACAGAGCACTGCACTGGTCAGATTTAGTCTTCCTGGATAAATGACAAGGAGATGTAACACTAGAACTCAAATCTGCTGAGATACTGCATGAGAAACCCCACATAAAGAGCTTGCCCTGCAGGACCTCTTTCTCTGCCTGCCACAAAGGAAGGCAGAGATTAACCTTTTGAAGCCTGATAAGCTACTTCTCCCCATCAACTTCAGCTGTATTACATGCTGAGTTTTGAACAAGCTGGTAGAAGCCACAAAGATAACTCCTGATGGTTTGCTCTCTACTTGAGGAGGCAACAAATGCAGCTTATAGCAACACAAAGGAACAAAATCCTTGTTCTTTAAATTCCACTGGATTGGCAAATTCTTGATTTATGTATAATGGCACCAGTTTGGAAGTATAACTGCTAACCAGTTGTGGAGGCCTGTTCAACAGAAATCAAATAGAACTGCACTACAGCACAACTCCAGGGTGATGACCTGTGGTGTGGTACTTCCCAACGCACCAGAACACAGCCCACCCACCCCAGGCACAGCAGGCAGGAGCAAAGAACAGCAGCTTCTCAAACAGCACCCAGGTCAGAGTAACAAGAGGGAATTCAGGCCTTCCTGTGATGCTAATCAAATACTTACAGGGTTGTGAACTTCATCTGCTGAATGAAGGACAGCCCACCAGTCAGAGGTCCATTCCCAGGCATTTCCCACAATGTTGTACAAGCCATATCCATTGGGAGGAAAGGCAGTGACCTGAACACAAGATGGAACACAAGGGCCAGCTCTGTAAACCACTCAACTTGAAATCAGGTTTTTAATCCTGAAGACCAGTCTGCTGAAGCTGCATTTGTCTTTCCTAGGAGTGTCTGCCTTCACATTCCAAAAGCAGGCACCAAGTTATTAGTGCAAAACTGTAACACTTAAATTCTTCATTGAAATAAAACAGAATGAACTCAGTGTTCTGAGCACCACGTTCCACTATGGCCCACAGCATCCCCTCACTGGCTTTGGAGACTGATCCTTTCAAGAGGGGCACTGACCCACAGATCTGCACACAGCATCAGTGACCTGACCTCCAGACCCATACTCACAGCTTCCAAATTCCTCTTCCCATCAAAGAAAAGCAAGATTGGCTGTCAACTCATCCATATGAGGACTTCTGAAACTACTGAAACATTTTAAATTTTATTACCATTTAATAACTCATTCACATTCTTGATTGCTTTTAACATCCCACTCCATGGTTTGCCACACCAAACAGACTCAAGCTTTCCAAGAAGGGAAGTTTCATTTCTTTTAAACTATTGCATGATTTTCACGCCTCAGGATCAACCACTCAAAAATGAGAGTTAAAAACTGCAATGCCAGAAGTGCAGGCAGAAAGTATTTCAGCATCTGAGTAGGAACTGACTGCAAAGTGGGAAAAGAGGTCAGTCTGAGAGGAACTAGAAGTTAAAATGAAAGTAATCTTTACTTTTCAATTAGCTTTTAAGAAGTGTCCCCTGGTAATACTCAAACCTGCAGTGAACTATATGGTAACTTGAAAGGTGAGAGAGTATAGGAATGGAAAACAGCCATAGCTCATTGTGCTGAGCACAGGCCTCCATTCTAAGAAGACAAAGTTAATGTTCATGGGATGAATTCACTCTAAGACACTTACAGGGGCAGTTCCCTTGTATCCATCTTCTGCACTGTTATTAGTTGGGAACACTCCCTGCCAGATGTTGGCATAATGGTGACCTTTTGGCTGCAGCTTGTTGCCCCATGGGAAAAGTCTGTTAAACAGACACAGGAGAACAGTTGGCAAAGGCTTTTTTTAAAAAAAATAAAAGAATTGAGACACACCACACAAACCTCCTCCCTCCCCACTTTACCCTGAATAACTGTTTGTATTCCAGTTCTATTTGTACCAAAATCTAGCAGGTTTTCAAGGAGGACAATTCAGACATGGAGGAAGGCAAGGCAGCACTGCCCTGTGTGGTGTGTAGGCCAGGACACACCATGGAGAAGACTTGAGTCTGCTGTTCCCCTGGTCTTGCTCTCCTCCCCAGGCCCACAGCAGTTGCTGTGCAGTGATGGAGTTATTTACTTCTCAAGTTCTTCTGCACCTCTTTTGGCCTGGGCACTATGCTCCTGCACTCCTCCCTCTCCTGCAGTGGCAGCAATCCTGTGCCTTGGCATCTGGTCACCTCTCCCCCCTCTTGGGCTGTGTCCTCCTCCCATTGGAGTTCAGATCACAACATCCCATTTAGGTATTCAAGGAAATACACTTACCTAAAGGCACCTGTTTAGAGGAAGTCAGTGTTATACATACCACAGGTGTCCATACTACACCAAAAAAGCAGACACTGAGGGTAATAAACCGCCCCAGACCTCTTCCTTATCCAGTAAACACCAGTTTTAAACTTTTACCAAGGACACATCTGAGACAGGCACCTGTTCTCCAGCCCCCCCCGGCAGCTGTACTCCCACTCAGCCTCGGTGGGCAGACGTTTCCCTGCCCAGGTGCAGAAGGCCACAGCATCATTCCAGGAGACATGAAGAACTGGATGGTCCATCCTGGGAACAACATGAACAGGACAAGACCATCAGCAGAATGAGGTGATCTCACAGCCACACAGCACGAGCACTGTGTGGAACTCTTCTAGAGGTGGCCACAAAGGAGCACAAGGAAGTTCAGTCACAACTGGACCAGGTATCAGATCACTTTTACAGAAAAAGGAGCTACTTAAGGACACAGCAAGATGCTGGAAGGGAAGTGCAACCACCAGAGAAAAACAAGGATGAGAAAAAAATTAGCTTCTGTTTGTCTCATCACACTTCCACATAACAGGTCTCTACAGTTAACAAAGACATTTGTGGGTTGTGCTTTCTCATGGTCTCCCCTCACAAACCTCCTGCACCCAGGAGTCAATGAAGAACTATGGACACACAGCTCCTGTGGGAAGGGAGGTGCTCAGAGACCCACAGGAAGACTCCACAAGCCTGCAGCATTACTGCTCCTTGCTAGGGTACTGTAACAGGATCTCAGCCAGAAACCAGGAGTCCCAAGAGGGAAATGAACACTGCAGTTTAACAGCAAACACTCTTCACGTCCCTGTGTGCTCTGCTCTCTGCTGCAGGTTCTCTCTGTGCTGTCAGTTGGGGGGGATTTGAAAGAGGTGAGATAAGCAAGAGGCTTTTACTCTTAACACCATCTTTTGCAGCACCCAACCCAGGAAACAGTGAACTACAGAAATTTAAGTGTATTTTTCTTTGGGCATTTCAAGTAGTCCACAGTCCACACAAAAGCCACCATCCTTCCTTGGTTTGGTTCCAGAATTGCCCTTACAATCCTGGTCTCTTTTCCCAGAAAAAGACAAAAAAATGCCAAGTCATTCTTGTCACAAGGATCCTCCCCACCCAAGTCTCCAATAGACCAAGATACTTCAAGAGCTGAGGGTGCTGGTCCAGGAGAGAGATTCAGAGGACTTCCTATAAACTTGTCTTTCCTGCCTCATTTCACAAACCCAGTGTGTCCATCCTGGACCATCAGGCTACTTCCACATGGCAAGTTCCCCAGCAGCTGTACTAGGCTGGGGTTGCACCACACTGCTACAAGACTAGATTCACATGGCAGGTTTCCAGGTCTTATCTGCTGACTGTGACCTAAATTTCTCTGTCTTCCCCTAACAATGCCTCCTGATATTATCTCTATTTTTGCCTCAGATAATTCTTTCATTGCCCTTGGAGAACTGACAACGGACTTGTTACTAAGCAGTTCAGTCATCAAATTATGTTACACTAACACAGCCCTGTCCTCAGAGGACTCAAAAACATGCCAACATCTACCAAATCTAGGCTAGGTAGCCTGACTTTATTTCAAACTGCAGTTTTAAAACTTCAACTAGTTGATTAAGGCAGCCAGTGCCAACTTCACTGACATCTGCCCAGTGAAAGAGCTGCAATACAAAAGGTCCCAGAAGAAGAGAGTCACAAACATACAGTAAAACAGATAACTGAGCAATGGCCTTCAACACATGCAACCCAGGGCTAGCTCTGCAGTATCCACAAAAGCAGCTACAAATGAAGTGTCCTGATTTTCTAGGCATAACATTCATTCCCCTTCTGAAAGTGATTGCACAAAGACATGGATCAGGAAGCTTCAGGGGTCTTGCTAGCAAAGCAGGGCACTAACTATGGGCTGTTAAGAGAAAGTACAGCTTTCCAAAGCATTTAGAGCTTCTAGGTAAAGTCATAACTGATTTTCCACAAGAATCAGCCCACAAACCCAGAATACACTAGGAAGCACAAAACTCTTTAGTCTTCTACTACAAGGGACAGGCCTCCAGGTCTCAGATGGAGGACACATAACACAGACTCAGAGTAGGCATGAGGTATTTAGCCTTCTCCACAAGCCCTGCACTGGATGCTTTGAAGTCACAGACACTGAAGTTTTACTGTGCTTCACTGATGACACAGAAACATGAATAGAAAACACATTAAGCACATTTCAGTGTGGTCTCTTTTCCCTTGGGTGGAAAGTGCTTATAGACCTTTTTAAATATGGCTGTATCATTGGCCATGTGACCACTGAATATTTCATGCAGCACACTAGAAGATGGGAACATTTCTGAAGCAGCAGCAAACAGGTAACTGCTTGAAAACCCTTCCTTGCCCCTCCCATCCTGGTACATGTCTACAGGCATATTTACAAGCGGGGTGTATTGTAACTGAATGGCCACCTGTGACTTACCTGTTGGAGATACTAGAGCCAGGGCCCTCTGGGTGCTTCCAGTTGGCTCCCTTTACAGGCAGCCACCAGGGAGCAGCTGCAACCTGAAAAGGGACAGAAGAAGAGGACTTAAATTAAATTCCCAGCTAAAGCCTATTCTGAAAAACCACCCTGCAACAACAGGCTACAAAGCTTCACTCACAGCTCATGGTTCTGCCTGCAGAGCCATTTGACCTATTAAAGTTCCAAATAACCTCTGATTAACCAAGATGACCATTTGATTCATATTGCAGTACTGCTGGCCAGGAAAGAGCCCCAGGTATGGAACAGCACAAAGCAAATGTCACCCAAAGGAAAAGCAAGAGGGAGACCAAGCCCTGAGCGTGGTTTCCTGCAGTACTGCCCTCTGGATGCCTCTCCTTCCCTGCTACATTTTCTCACCTGCAGGTCTGATCAGGCACAGCCCACTCTCTCTGAAGGCACAGCCCTCAGCACGATGTCTGTGGAGGACCAGACAGTCTGCTCAGAAATTGCCAGCTCTTCACCTCTGAAAACTATGCCAAGAACACTCAGATGTAGTGGCTGGAAGGAGTCATCTGGAACATCACAGTTTTACTCTATTCTCTTACAACTTCGCCCCCAGTACAGATACACAGTTAACCTTCTGGCTGACTTCAGTCTGACACATTCTGTAGAGATGATAAAAAGAAGGCAGATTTGGCAAAAAGAGAATTTCATCCCAATTGTTTGCTCCCTAGACTCGGTGTTTTGGAATAACTGAAACAAAATCCTGACTATTTACTTTAACCAGGGTCAAGACACACATCCTGCAACACATTTGCTTTCCAGTTAATTAACTCAGTAAGCTGATTTTAAATTATTTGCTCTCAGCTTCCAGAAGGTGGAGACAGAAGAGCCCCAGAAGTCTAGTGCTATTCTTATTTTTTTCCCCAGCTGGTTTGCTGAGCAGCATCAGGCTTGCAGGCATAACTGGGTAACAATGCAGATAGCAAGTACTCCTCTCTCACCACAAGTCTCAAAATTGGTTCTGCAATGCCAAGGAATTATTCCTAAAACACATCCATTAAGGATTTATTCTATTAAGGTTACTTCAAAGCTGAGAAGGTCAGTAAACAGCACAATTAACTATCCTACTCTGATTCACATTCATTGGAAATGCTTATCTGGGTTCTTTCAGAAAATTGAGGAGAAAAAGAACATTTATGTTAACTGTCAATAGTATGTTTTTTTATAGCCAAGGCCATTCTCCCCAGAATCAGAACCCCAACTCTTCTCAAAAAGGCATGAAGAGTATGTGATCTCTTGCCAGGAATTACAGCTCTGACACTGAGCATTCAGACTCAAAGCTGGAATCTCCATCCAGGGAGACACTCTGCTCAACTCTCATAGAACTAAAGCTTCAGAATTATCAAGTTGCTGAACCTAGACTTAAAACTAGTCTGATTCAACCAATTCCATGTATATTTTGAGTTCAACCATTGATGAACCTATATTCATGACAGGACAGAAATGCAAAGTTAGAATTTTACAGCCCTCTGAGGACAACAGGAGGGCCACAGGATCATCAGCTAAAGGTTCTGTTCTCTGTGAATCTGAAAGATCAGGAGTAAAATTTCATCCCAATAGCTTCTAAACTCAACACATTTTTATAACTTAAACTGCTGAGTTTTGGATAAATATCTCTGCAGGCAACTGCAAAGGCTTACGCTTTAGAAGACTTTAATTTTGGAAAACACTTTTGTTATGCAAAAGAAAAGGCAGATGCTTTCAATCAGAATAGTTTATTTTAAACCAGGGGAAAAAAAAAAACAATCCCTCCGCATGAGAGCACCACGTGTGCATGTCTTGTTCCTGAGCACCAAATGGCTGCCAGGCTTTGCAGAACATGCAGATCTTCAGAAGCTACACACCTAGAACAAGGGCAGTGGTAACAGCGACCAGCTACATGCAGCCTTCAGCAATTGATTTGAAGCTCCTCTAAGGCAGCAGCTGACAGCAGTGAGCGTGATCCAAGGGGCTCCTTCCAAAAGCAAAAGTCACATACCTGAAATTTGCAGTCCTTTCACAAAACTTCCCTGAAGTCTTTAAAGCTTTTAATTGCTCTAAATCTAATTAGTAAAAGAGCTAATTAGACTGAGATATTGCAGCATCACAGTTAATACAGCAAAGCCCTCCCTTGCCACTAATGAGCTTAGTTACTTTCATAATGCTTAGTGTCCTCACGCTTCGCTCCCAAACGTGTTCTGTAGAGTGGCCAGATTCATCCTGTAAAACCAGCAGCATATGCTGTTGATCAGATCTTGGCAAGATACTGACTTAGAGGACAATAGCTCCTTTATTTTGATTAACTCTTTCCAGGGTAGCCTGTCACTTGTAACAGAGCTGACTAAACACCTCTGCCCTGCAAACGTTCCACCAGTGCCTGGAGATCCAGGAAATGCAGTTCCAGGAGCAAAACACATTTTAGAAGCAGAGAAGCTCAAGTGCTTGTTTTGGTTTGATCCAACTGAAAACTTGCTTTATCCAGCTCTCTGCTCCAAGATTAAGAACTCACTATTCTGCTTACCACAGACTTGTAGTGCTGTGAAGAGAACCTGCTAATACCAGGAAGATACACCAACAGTTAATCACAACCTACAAGTTTTCCACTCAGATGAAGCAATTTGCAGAACTGAAGCCTGTACTCCCACTATCAGCTTGCTTAAAATTCAAAGTATTCCATTTTCTTTCCAAAGGAGGCTGGGATAGCCTAACTTTAATTGCTCCATTAACTCGTGATTTCAAGATTTTTAAACTACTTTAAACTTATCTTAAACAAAATTCCTTTCTACAGATACGTAGAAAAAACAAACAATGAAAGGAGGGTCAGGAAAGTCAGTTTCACCACCAGCATTTTACCATTACTGGGTACAGCAAAAGCAGTAGGGTAATACTCTAAAAAACACATAAAAACCAGCCAGAAACTATGAAAACATTTGTATTGGTCTTGCATCTAACATGGCACTGGCCACGTTAGATAAAAACAACCCCCCACTTTAGCTTCAAATTTTTAATTGAAATCACATTTGTATTAAAAGATTTACCAAAAATAAACTCAATTGAGTAGCTCATCTTGACTTTAATTCCATTTCTAACATGCAGCAAGTCACTTGAAATAATAAAGCTGTGGATTTTGACCTTAAGATGGACCCAAAAGATGAAGAGAAACTTGTGCTGCTGTAGCACGACATCTTTGTTTGCTGTGCTACAGTATTTTAATGCTATTTTAGCATAACAAGGCCTGCATACATAGGTCAAGATAAACATCTGGAAGAAGCACAAGTTACTGCAGTGCAAGAACTTCAGCAATTTAGAAATCAACTGTCTGAAGAGAGATTTTCAGAGTGAAGAGTAGTCTAAGTCTGGAAAACACTTCAAGAATGATACATTAAGCAGTGGGTTCTTGGAGAACACACTTCAGTTTCAGAAGGTGACTTAGTAGGTTACCACTCATCTGGATCAGACTGTGTTAAACACTGTACACCTTTGCTTTGCAAAAGCATCCTCTGGGCTGCAAATGCAATGTGTGCATAGGCTGGAAGCAGGGAAGCTGTGAAGTGTTGTCTCAGATACAGCCAGTGGTCTGGATATCTGCATTGGTGTTTTGCCAGGATGTGAGAAATAATTAGTTATTCAGTAAAGAATACAATTTTTGGATAGGGCTTTATTTTATCCAGGTAAGGCAGATATACATAAATCTCTGTCCACTTGTCCTCCTTTAAGCCATCCCTTGAACCTTGAACAGGTGATTAATGAACTACTGAGGCAGACAGAAAATGGAACATTAGTAAGGCAGAGAGTTTAATAAATAAAAATAATGACTGTGCAACAGCCCAAACCACTGCATTTTCCCCACAGAAGCCACAAAGAAACCACATTAGTTGGGGTCCTGGTCACAAGTAACTTTATGCCTCTTCTTCCAAGCAGTATTAGTGTACCTTCCCCACAAGAACTTTCTCTCTCACTAAGATTAGGGGCAGAGGTCTTCTCCCAGTGTCCAGGGGCAGGTCCTGAGCACATAACACTACAGGACTCCCTTCCTTCCACAGGATGGAGCCCACCCTTCCAGGAAACCCACAGATGAACCTCCAGCTGGGATCACAGTGCAGCAGCCCCAGGCCCCAGCCAGCAGCAGCTCTGGGCTGGCACATACCCATGTGGCTTTCTGGGTGTCTCTGGTCACTGCCCTCATAAAGTCCCACTCAGGATCAGAGAGGGGAACCCACAGAGGCCAGAGACAAAGTTTAGCCCCCTGTTCTGACCCAGTTTTTCAGTCAGATTCAGAACACAAGAAACTCTTTATGGTGAGGGTGGTGAGACATTATAACAGGCTGCCCAGGAAAGCTGTGGCTGCTCCATCCCTGGAAGTGTTCAAGGTTGGATGGGGCTTGGAGCAACTTGGTCTAGTGGGAGGTGTCCCTGCCCATGCAGGGGGGTTGGAAACAGATAATCTTTAAGGTCTCTTCTGACCCAAGCCATTCTATGAAACCAGCCAAATGCCAGGAAAATCCCCCAGCAGATGCAGACTCCCCGTTCACCATCAGTTCACAGCTCTGCTCCTCCTTCCCATCACTGGGAACAGCACAAGGTGACCTATTTCTATGCAGTGCATCATCCCCATAGCAACGGGCTTGTGTTTAAGTTGAAACAGCTGTAACTGAGTCAGGGAGACATCACAATGTAAATAGTGTGGAAGTGAAAACCACTTCAAGGCTCAAGGAAAGAATAGATCTCTCTGAGCCCCTTATCAAGGTTGTCATAGTAGCTGCACAAGGGAAACAATATACATATGCAGCTATAATTCATATTTGTACTTGAAGATACTCTGCAGAGAAGAACAAACCTTCTGTAATTATGTGCATAAACTGAGCTGAAACATGATTGTCAAATTCTCCACCAAATCAGTAACTAAGCACACTGAAACAGCTTAAAAGTAGACAGCTGAGTGTTTTTTCCAGAAGATAACTAATACTTCACGTTACCAGTTTCTGCAATGCTACTGCAAGCCTCATGCTATTTATTATATCAATTTAAAGACTCAGCA